CATAACTCGAATCTTCATTTATGATAGGCACCATGCGCCGTCGTAAATGCGGGCTGAAGACGTAAGTCGGGGGTTTTCAGCCCCTTCCGCAGTTACAGAAATGCTTGTAAGTGCAGGGGGTCGGAACTTGGGCAGTCGCATGTCGGGGTTTCCTGTAGCTACACAATACAGAGCAGAATCAAGCCCTTTGGTTACTTTTTTGCGTGGCTTTAAGCTTTAAGCAGTGAAATTAGGTTGATTCACTTAGTTGGCCTTTCTATTTGCAGATAACATCACTTCCTGATTCTCATGCATTGGTACCTTTCGGTAAAGCAGTTAACTTTGGATTTCTGCCACTGCAGGGTGCTGTTTAAATAAAAACAAAACAAAACAAAACAAAAAAACCAAATACCTGTGTCCACTGAGAAAAGTGATGCTAATGTAAATGTTTCTTGTCATTATGTTTTGGCTACATTTTAAAATAAAGTTGCTTAACAATGTTCTTGTAATACTGAAGCATATGCAATACAATATTATTCACGTGAAAATACTTCCAAGTAAACAATTATTTGCAGAGTAATTCCAAGCAATTACTATTATTAGGATTCATATAGGCAGAGGTCAAGTTCCAGCTAGAATGTACAGGGATGGTGGTAGATGCAGGGATGCACAACACTGGGGGAAAATATAAAGAAATTGTTAGCACAATCAAGCCACACATGTTTATCCATTGCTTAAAGACACACTACCATGCGCAATCTACACTTGCTAGTCTGTCACTGAAGAATGAGCTATAGAAGCATGCATTAGCCCAGAATCTCTAGCTTTCTGTTCTGTGGAACTCCATGCCTCTGCAATTGGGTTGATGTGGAAAGTGGGTGTGAAATGGCATCAGCACACCAATTTCCAGCCCTTTGCATTGCCAGCACGGGGGTGGGGGGGAAGGGGAGGGCAGGGGATGTGGAAAATCTGGTGGGTGGATTTTACTACAAGAACGCCATGCAAATAAAACTGGGCAGATACATATTCTGAGAAGTAGCCTTGAGTGTTAATACATGCACTCCACTGAATGCTTTTTCTTCTCTCCCTTCTTCCCAGTCTACTTTGAAGACTTTATAGAGCCTTATTCCCCCTTCTGTCTCAAGATTCCTCCCCAACCCAATTTCTTTTCCCTCTGATGTCTAATTTCCTTCCTCTTCTTTCCTTTCTCCCATCTTGGGAGCCTTCACAGAACATTGCTGCAGTGTGGGAGACTGGGAGGCAGTGAATGTAGCAAGCAGAAGGAGAGTACCAAGGAAGGAAACCAGGAGAGATGTCTCCAGATGCTGGCAACAGAAGCCACAGGTGTCCCTGATACAGGGAGATACTGCTCCTAATGAATTCTAGATAGTATAAGTGATTACATGAAGATGGCTAAAGTCAGGCTTGTGTAAACATGGCTGTGTAGCAAAAATATGCTACCCACATATGAAAATAATCCAGGGATTATAATTTTAGAAGGCCCCTTGCTAAATATTCATGTTTCCAGAAAGTCATGTCAGGCTATTTCACAGGCAAGGAACCAGGCAAAAAAAAAAATAACCCTGCTTCCATAAAGCATTTATTTTTTATTTGAAAACATTATACAGGCATTACATGGCCACGGCCAGTCCATATAGGAGCATGCAAATATCAAAACAGAGAAAGGGTTGTTCAATTTATTGGTGCAGGGTTTGGGGTTGGGGTGTTTTTGTTTGGTTTTGATTCATATTTCCATTTGCAGTGCCAAGATTAGTGTGCCTCATTATGACATTTAACAATAAAATCCTACCCATAGGGTAAAATTTATATTTGTTGCTAGCTTGAGAATACTAATTTTTTAAAAGGGAAAGAAAACAATACTACACGCTTGGCAAAATGTTAATAGCACATGTTAGCAATATCTAAACTATACATTGAAACTTTTTTATATGACACAGTGGTGCAAAATTTTCAATTGCTTTGTCTGTCATTGTGTATTTAAAAAGTTTATAGCCGGAAAAAAGACAAGTTCTGTCTCCCACTGCAGGTCTCCATCCACTAGCAGAAAATTACATCAGCCTTGCCTTGTCCACTCTCTGCCAATGGGTAGTAGAACTTCAGTTTGTTCAAGGAAAAGAGCTGGTGAAGTCCTAATTCAACCAGTAGAGTTAGCTGCCAGATGGATAGCTGAATCTGATGGTGTCCACTGAGGTCTGAAATTACAGGAAATTAAAAATCTAGAAATAATAGTTTTCCCTGCTGGACCTCAGCTGTCATTTAACAGTGTATTTGTAAAGCTATACTACTATTTTCCTTTGAGGTCCAACCATTACTGGCAAATTGGAACAATTCAACACATTCTTTTTAGCTGGAGACAAAACAAAATAAAAATAAAAATAAAAAAACAACACCATACTACGTTATCCCAGTGACATGAACCTCTTCATGTGGAAGAACATATGGGATGGTTGTTGAGTGCACAGTGCATATGTGAACAGTCACAATTTATTTCCATACAATTAAGTCATTTGAGATATCCTATTACAATTGTTTCGGATGGCACCTGTTAGCCATCAGTTGATTGCAAACCCTTATTTGTATAAACTCCCGGGTCAGTGAGCTGACCTGGATATGCCTTCAATCCAGTTCTTCCTAGTAAGACTTTTATAAACATCTACAAATTATTGTAATAAAAATGAGAGAAAAGCGAGAAAAAGACTACAAACATTTGGCTTAGAAAATAAATACTAAGAGTGAAATAAACCAAAACAATTATGCAAAATGAAGAAACATAAACTTGAAACAAACATGCACACACACGCTCCCAGTCTCCAAAGGTCTCAAGACTAACATGGGAACAATGCTCAGAGAAAGGTATTTAATTGGTATAAAAGGTAGCAAAAAGACCAGGAGATGACAGGTGCCCACCAATGCTCTTTGCAGTACCTGAGAGAACAGTGGCAGTTGTAATGAGAACGTACGGCGGCTTGAACTGTACAATGACTACACAAAGTCTATGCACCAGTTAAGCCTTGGTTTGAGAACTTCAGTGGTTTCTTAGTCTTGTGCTGGCTCTTTGCACAAGGCTGACCTGACTGGTCACCTAAGAGCTGCTTTAAAGTCTATTTTGATCTTAACTGGCAATGAAAGGGTCCAATACACAGGGATGAATGTGAACAAAGTTGCCAACTCTTGTAATTTTAGGGTGTGAATCTCACAATATTTGCAGTTTGTCTTACAGCCCCAGATCCTGATGAAAGCTTCAACTTTTATTTTTAAAAAAGAGCTTCCAGTCCTTATGGCTGCAGGGAAAAGCTGGAAAACATGAACACTAAAAGTTCCAAAACCAGAAGTAAAATAAAAATAACCCAAAACTTATTATTTTATAAATCTCATGATATCTGAACACGTGGAAGGATTGACAATATGACAATCCCTTCTTTTTCAACTGCAGTGGAATCATAACAGGCAGCATGATGAGACAGACTGTGACTCTCTTCCTCATTAGGAGGAAGAATGATATTAAACGAATATTCAGTAATTCCCTAGCATGTTGGCATGTCACCATTTTAAATTTTGTATGCAAACTTCCCTCAGGCTTCTTCACAAGGGCACCATTTCAAGCACGTATGGGGGCAGCAGCCATGTGCTCTGGATGAGGCTAGCTTTTTATCCCGTTCCCTGGATGCTAAGGGAGTCAGGGGAAAGTGCTTACATTTCATGCATTCCTCTCATACCTGGCTGGTGAGCTCTCTTCACCAGCCAGGTCTGAGAGGCAGGGACGGAATGCACGCACTTTCCCCTCACTCCCTTACTCTACAGGGAAGAGGATGAAAAGACAGCCTTCTCCCGAAGTGAACAGCTACTGCCCCCGCCCTCAACGCAGTCAAAATGGTGCCCTTGCTTCTTCAGAAAAGTAATTTGTGTTGCTTTGCAGAACAGGAATATAAAAGACAATAGTTTTTCACCAGAAATCCATCCTGCTTAGTTGATTTGCATGGCCTTTTCCAATCTCAGGAGTGGGCAGTTTCTTTTTCTCATAGAAATAGGTGAATTTTTTGTTTTACATGAAGCCCTACATTTTCATTTGAAACTGATTTCTTCAGAATAATGTCATTCAACTAAAATATATTTCATATGCCCACCAGCAGAAAATGCAGCAATTTACCACAACTTGGCTGCAAACCCTGTTTTCCAATACAATGATTATATAAAAGCTATTATAATAATACATCCTGCTTCCTTGGCTCCTTCTTTCTGAAGATCTTTAAAAAAGTTCAGCCCTGTAATACTCCTGGGAGGGAGGTAAAGAATTACTATCCCTCTATATACAGATTGGAAACCAAGCCACACGTCGAAGATCACATAAAAGATCTGTGGCAGATCTGTGAATAAAACTGAGCTCTCTTGAATCTCTATCCTGTCCTTTAGACACAAACTGTCCTTTCTTTCTTTAATTTAAAGAGAAAAATGGACTGAGACTATATGAAGCAATGACTTTTGTCTTTCAGATTTGCAAGGTTCTGCTTCAGATTCAATAGAAGTGTTTTAAACACTCCACATTTCTGATGAGTTTCCTGCAGAAGAAATAAAGTCATAAAACACAGCCTTCTTTCAGAGGGACTGTCACATTCCCTGGTGGATATCAGAAAACTGCTAAATTCTACTTTGGTAGATAATGAAAAATAATTGGCTATGCCTCTCAGGCATGAATACCATCATGCTGCTGCAATAACACCAGCAGACGGGTTAGCTTTATTCATAATATTCATGAATTCACTACATTATCATACTAATATTTATGATTGTGCCACAAGAAGGTTCTGATGAAAAACTGACGTATTTCCAGATTAAAGTATGGTTAGGAAAAGGAACCCAAAGCCTCCTATATCACAGGACTGAGAACTGGAAAAGTAGAAGGTTCCTGATTGTGCACTGAGTATTGAAAATAAGTACCTTGATCTGACTGACGTATCAACGTACTAATGAGAGCTACAATATGTAGGAAAAATAGAAAATGCAAATTTGTTACAGATTTAATTTTAAAAGTACGAAATGTATTCTGCTTTGTTTCTGCAGGTTATACACAGCTCCGGAAATACAATTCCCCTATCACCTGATACAGAAGCTCAGCCACTAGGAAATCCTTCATGAAACAATAAAAGGTCAATGCTTGAGTAATTCACTTCTGTAAATATAGAAAGGCTAAATGCTCATTTTACACCTATTCCTAGAATAGAGACTGATATTGTTAGTTGTCCCTCCCCTGCACTCACAGCAGAGATTACATTTAAAGTGGGCTACCAGATAGATAGTACAGCTGACTCATTAATCCTTTCTCCCAGCAGATCCAGGTGCTACCAAAAATGCATCAGGGTGTAGTTACAAGGAGTATTTGCACCTATTTGCGCAAAACAAACACATCTGAAAAAGAGAGAAAGTAACAGTGACTGTACAAGTGGACTTGCTGTAAAAAAGTGGCTTTTCCTCACCTCTGTGTGGCCTTGGCAAAGCATCACACAATAGGTGCAAAAATACCCTTTTGATTTCTATGTAATTTCAGCTTGCATTTTGAACATCTTCATAGGTAGTTGGATAGTTAGCGATTCACACAGAGCATTCTGTTGTGGCCAGCATATTGCTAATACCCTAAATAAAGAACTGCATCTCTTTGCAATGTATACCCAGTGACAATTAGTTTGTACTTTCCCTATTTGCTGCCTTGAAGCCCACCTGTGTAATCGTACCCAGTAAATACCTTTCTCTATGTACAATACAGGGATCATGGATATACGAACTCCACTGAATCATCAGTGGCAGACAAATGCCTGAGTTTAGGCAACTCTGACATGAGGCTCTTCTTCTGTCTCTTGGCCTAGACTGGTATATGTTACTGAAGGTTCCAGCTGTCCGGATGCTGGTAAGTCTACAACAGGTCCTGAAGGGTTTCGAAACTGCTTGTACACCCGTGGATCCTGGGCTACATATGTGGATGTGGAGGAGTACAGCACCAGCCCAACGAGGATAGTGAAGAATGACAGCAGATAGAGTCCTGAAAACTAAACATAAATAAGAATTGAGTCATTAGAAAGTTTCATTGATTATCCTTTGCTCGCAAGGGCTAATGGAAAATCACAGGAACAGATCCTTGATTTACTATGCACAGCATAGCACTGTCTGTCTTCCCTGGTTTGACTGTAGATGTTGAGGAGATACTCTTGCTGGAAGTTTGTTTCCATTACACGTGCCTTCTATTTTATAAAAAATATGAGTGCAATTCTCCTGTGGCCCCAGAAATAGGTAAATATGAGTCTCTTAATGGGGACTCAGGAGATCTGGGTTTTGTTCTCAGCTTTGACACCGGTCTGTGTTATGCCTTTGCCCAAGTCACTTCCCCTCTCTAGAGTTCAGTTTCTTCATCAGCAAAACAGGGATAGTGAAATTTACCAACATTTGTAAAATGTTTTGAGATCTATGGATGAAAACTGCAGTACAAGTATGAGATTTTATTGTTTTCACACCATGTGTCTGTAAAGTGTAACACACAATCAGGGGTATATAAATATCAATGGCACCAGGATTTTTAAAAAGCATTTTAAAAGTACACCTAGAAAATATATTTTTAGTAAAGGCTCTTTTGACATGTACTTAACTATATATCGGGCAGTACTGGTATGGTACATCAGCACGTACGCTGAATTCCAAAACCAGATAATAGGGTTGTACATGCTTTAATGTGATTTCAGAAGAGTTGCGGATTTTAGCTTTAACAAACCCTGGCTTGACTTCTAAAGGTTGGAATGTGCACACGGAAGATCAGATGTTTATCCAAAGCTTGAGTCTGTGTAATCTGACAGGCAGTTTCATAAGACCAGACCTTCTCTTGAGTTTTCTCATATATCCTACTTCAGGTTGGGCTGAAAATATCACACAAATAGCTTTTTCTGGAAATATTACAGCACTTGCAGATGAGGCAGAGGAAGGAACCCAGAAGTCCATAAGAATCAGAAATCAAGTATTTGATCCTTGGTCCCCTATAAGGTCACTTTATGCTGCTAGAGCAGCATAAAGTGACCTTAAAGCTGCCCTTAAAGGGGTAGCTGAGAATTTCTGAAATGTCTGGATGGTGGAAAGATGGCATAAACAGTTTGGCTACGTCTACACTGGCCCCTTTTTCGGAAGGGGCATGCTAATTTTGAAAGTGGGAATAGGGAAATCTGCGGGGGATTTAAATATCCCCCGTGGATTTAAATAAACATGTCCGCCGCTTTTTTCCGGCTTGGGGAAAAGCCGGAAAAAAAGCGTCTAGACTGGCCCGATCCTCCGGAATAAAGCCCTATTCCGGAGGATCTCTTATTCCTACTTTGAAGGAATACTTCCTATGTTTTCTGCCTCTTCCTCATCAGCAGAAGGAGTGTGAATTATACTATAGCTGGAGCACAGTATACTCTCTTAATTTCTATCGAGTCGAATGGTCCCTAGTAGATGATTCTAATTGACATAAATCAGAGTAGCCATGTAGCTGCTCCAGTTTGTCAGGAGCAGAAGAGAAGTAAAGGACTTATAATCACCTTTATGCTCACCACGAGCTGTACCAACCATGAACCCAATAAAGGAAGAAAAAATAGCTTTCAGAATCTTTAAATAGTACAATTGTGCAAATGGACAAAGATTTGATGTGACAGGTTCTTGTGCACCCTTAAACAACCACCCTAGTGGGGATATCCCTTCCCCTTAAGCAATAAAAAGTTATTTGAATTGAAGACTCACCAGAGGACAAACTGCCTGTCACAACTTGGTAGGTAGGACAAGGACATAGAACTGATTTTGTATTTCGTAAGAGTTATAAAAGTGCAAGTGTTCAGCTATGGTCAGGAATATATGAATGAATGAATGAATGAATCAATGAATGAATGAATGAATGAATGAAAATGCCACCAGCTAACTACAGTCCTGTAACCAGTATGAGGTGGATATATTATTCTGAACAAAAGGGGAGCTGTAAAGCTATTCTCTAAACCTAGCTCACTATGGGACTTTGACAGGTGCCAAATGTGTTTCAGTTGGTTCATTTAGATGCACTGCTAGAAGGCCAGACTGAGTTAAATTATTCAAGGAAGAGCTTCAGCAGTTCTGCCCCAGGGTATGTTTACACTACAAAGTTAATTCGAACTAACAGACGTTAGTTCGAATTAACTTTAATAGGCGCTACACAGGCAAACCACTAGTTGCAACTTAATTCGAACTAGCGGAGCGCTTAATTCGAACTAGGTAAACATCATTCTACGAGGACTAACACCTAGTTCAAATTAAGTAGTTCGAATTAAGGGCTCTGTAGCCACTTAATTTGAACTAGTGGGAGGCTAGCCCTCCCCAGGTTTCCCTGGTGGCCACTCTGGGCACCACCAGGGAAACTCGTCTGCCCCCCTCCCGGCCCCAGAGCCCTTAAAGGGGCACGGTCTGGCTACGGTGCCCGTGCCAGGTGCAAGCCTGCCAGCACCCAGCCAGCAGACCCTG